CCTCTGCAGACGGGGGACCACTCGGATTACTGAAGCCATGAAAAGAGATAAGGAGGCCCCGACATGAGGCAGAAGCACCGGGGATGGAGCACATTCTCCCAGTGAAATTCTCCCAGTGGATGTCCTCTGTCTCCACCCACATTGCTATGCATTCCTCTTTCAGAATCAAATACAAATTTTTAATAGATTCAAAATATTTACCAAAGGAACCCAGGGATTCACGATACCACAACCGACTCTTTACCCCTAAATGGGATTTTCTGCATACCTCTGCTGCTTCCTGCTGCTGCTTCACTACTGAGGGATCGATTCCAGGGTCTTCCAGGTCCCGGATGAAATCCTGGGTATCTTTGGTGGTAACCACCAGGGACATGTGATCACACCAGAACTTCTCTGCTAATTCCATCACATCCAAGAGTTTGGCTTCTCTTTCTTCCACCAGCGTGTGTATGTTCTCCCAGATGAGAACCATTTGGTCAAGCTTGTCCTGAACAGCTATGGAGCAAAACAGAATCCAAAAGACACCCCGTAAGCAACAAAGCAGAGCATTTTTGTCTACACAGGAACGGTGGTTCAACTCACCAGGTTTCTAAACCTGGACCAAATCTGAGTTGAGCCCAGTCTACTGGGTATCGCTGGGCACAACGGCCTTTCCAGACAAACGCAGGGTGTCCTGCTCCCCCTGAACCAAGGTTTCCTGACAAAAGATGATGCTCGGAGAGGCACGTGAGCTCAGAGCAGGGGCACCTGAGTTTACCAAGGCGGGCCTTACTGCTAAGGAGGAGAAACAACCACGCAAGTATGCGCCCTCCCAGTCGAGACTTGAGATGCTGGCTCAGTCCCGGGACACGACAACGTCGGGTACGTATCTTGGGCTTGCTCCCAGCGCACCCTCACCACGAATTTCCACTGACCTCTGCACAGGCTCTCCCTTTGACCCCAGCTCATACCTTTAAGGTCCTGGTTGCCATTTCTGTGGCTATGGAATAGAGCGCCAGTTAGGTCAGTAGGCAGTGATGAGGAAAAAACACCCCTAGGTTTGGCCTTCGGAGCATTACGCTTTAACCAACTGATTTGAAGGGCCCGGAGAACACATGGCTTTTGTATTATGGGACATGATGTATTTAACCAACTGATGTCACCAACACAGGAAGACAGAACAAGGGGCTGGTGCACAGACAGCCCCTCCACCCAAGACACATTGGATCTGCGAAACCCTTTCTAAAACCGGGCGTGTTGATGGTGAACACTCAGAACGGTCGTACGAGTCGAGACCGATGGTTGGCCCATCCTGACCGGCTTACCTTTGGCAGATGTGTCCTTGTCCGTGCCCTGGGACCGCGCGATCATCTCCTCTCCCCTCTGCCTGAGCGTCTCGTACAGGGGCTGCAGCTTCTCCATGTCCACCACCAACACGTTCTTGTTCTCACTGATCTGCTCCCGGATCTTCTCCACCTCCGCCGAGATGGACGGGGGCTGCCTCAGGCGCTCCGCGATGCGCTCCAGGCTCTCCAGGGTCTGGTCGATCTTGTCGTGGAACTGGTGGTGACACAGAGCAATCGATCGATCATGGGGCAAAGGACCCGGGGTGCCAAGTGTGGCATTTAAGTGGAAAACATCTATTTTGTGCCACAGTCAAGAACTAAATAAATCTTGGTCCTTTTGTTAACACAGCCCTCCGAAGAGCTACATCCAGCTGGCACGGGAAGACGTTTCTTAAAATCACGACTTACACACACTCGTCTGTGTCACACGGCTCATGGAGGCTGGACTGCTTCTTGCAGATAACTGAGTGTATTCATTAAGAAATGGAATGTGCTAATACATAACTGGGCCACCTGAGAGCAGCATCCTACTTACTGCTTCACCTGATCACAATTCAAATTAAGTTTAAAAATTAGGGTCAGAGATTTGCAGATACTAACTACGATCTATTAAACAGAACAAGTCTCTACTGCATAGCACAGGGAACTCTATTCAATCTCTTGTAGTGACCTATAATGAAAAAGAGTATGAAAACGAACATACATATGCATATGCGTGACTGGCACGTTGTGCTGCACACCAGAAATTGGCATGTTGTGACTGACCACACTTCACCAAAATAAATAAAATAAATAAAACTTAGGTTAAATAATCTCAGTCTCAGTCTATCAAAACTGACTGTTTATTCACATTCACTGATTATTCTGGCCTCCAAAAAAAGTAATGTTATTAAATGTGAAACTCATGGGCAGTTTTGATCAGATTAAAGGGATTTCTTAAGTCACGAGTTTCCTGAACTAACAAATATGTTAAAAAAAAAATTAAACAAAACAAAAACCACCCTGATATTGCAATGGAAGTTTGTATTTAACTCATAATCGGATTCATGAAGGAATTTTCAACTCCTGTTTGCAAAGGTACCGCAGACAACAGAGCAAAGTTATAAAACCTCGTTCATTTATCGAGGCCACGCCATCTTCCACACTGAAGGACTCGCTACTCAGGATTACAGACAGTGGACCACTCTAATGCCAGCAACTCTAATGATGAGAATCAAACCTTAACAACAACTGTGTAGATAACTGCAAATCAACTTCTTGAAAGAATTTATTTTCAACCAAGGGAAAAAAAAGTCCAACTTTCTATTTTTTCCCTTCTGACTCAGCCTGCCATTCACAGTATTTCTTCTCATTGCCGTCTTGGGAGTGCTTTATCAGTAATGATAGTGACACTTTCTTCTATCTGTCCCAGTGGCAAACACTGACTTCCACCCCAGATGGACACTTACTTAGATATCTGGACAATGATGACAACTGTATGTTTCTTCAGTCACTGGAAATTATGTTTTATTTATATAGAAGGAGGCTGGGAGATACAAGGACTGGACGCAGGCAAGCATCGCCCCTGGGACAGACACCAGTGCTCAGACTCACCGCAGTGGGACCGTTTTAGCTGACACTGACCCAGGAGAGGCAGGACCCGGCGCCCCAAGCTGCACCCCACCCCCAGCGTCGAGCATTACCTGTGTGGATTGGGCCATGGCTTCATCCAGCGCCACTGCCCGCTTCTTGACGTCCTCCTTGATCTGACTGTAGAGGCTGTCAGCCGCCACGTACTTCTCTCGGATGGAAAAGCCCTCCCTCGGGCTCAGTTCCAGCAACTGCGGCCCGGTCTTGTTCATCTTGTCGATGTGAGGCTTGTGTTCTGCGATCAGCTCTCGCAGTTGCTGTAACGAAGCAGACAGCATCTCAGTATCTTCGGGGCGCCCGTCCCCAGGTCAACACCCCGCCCCGGGGCACCCAGCTGGCAAGAAGCTCCAAACACACACCCCACCCACCCCGTCCCCAGGCATGTAATGGACAGCTCTTCACCCAGAAGAGTCGCCCTCGACACAAAGATCACACAACAGTCTGGTCGTGTCCAAGTCCTTTCCAGGGCACACGTGAAGATGCCGGGGAGCTGAAATCATGGATCCCAGTCCACTGAGCACTTCCTCCCCAAAGCAGGACATTTTGATCAGGGTAGGAGCCAAGGGCCACATTACGTAGAAGGATTATGAGCTCCCTGGGTCCCAACCTAAAGACACCAAGCCACAACTCCCGGGGTTCCTTTCCGTACTTTCACGGTAGGCACCGAAAATTATTTAAAAGGATGGAAAGAAGGGAGAGGCAGGGAGGGGAAGGAAGGAAAAGGAAAGCAGCTCAGGAGAAGGCAGACACAATGCTGAGAGAAAAAACCACAGATAAAGCTAAGTCAGGCGGATGTAAGTCCATGAGGCACTGTGATTACACGTAAACCAGTTTAAAATGTGCATGTACGTATTACATTACATACGTATGAATCTATTCTATGTACGTATATGATACAGATGATACACATCCATAAACACATAAATAAATCTACTCATATTTATTTTTAAATGTTAATGGCCACAAGAGTAATCAGTCTTTCACACACACAGCTGCACACTGAGCATTACCTGTAAGGTATATTTATGGAAAAATACGTGACGTGAATATTTTGCATAATGTCATCTAATCAAGAAATACACTGATGTTAACAGTAATGAGTGAGTGTGGACTCACCCAAGTGGGGCCCCATTCCTTCCAGGCAGCTGGATCAATCTGGAACCTCCGCATTGCATGGAACCTGGGGCCCCCCACTGCCTGCCTGCCGGGTCCTCTGAGGCCGGCCTCCTTGTGGCAATAGGGTGCCCTCTCTTACCCCACTATTCATGAGGGTCCCTAATCAGCACCTCCTTGTCCTCACAAGAGGGTGTACCTGCAAACTGTTTGCTACCCAGCCCCCAATAAAAGCTTCTCTGAGGGAAATTACATTCGGGGAAGATAGTCTAGAGAAAAGCTATCTTTTCCTGTAAAAATTTCACCTTCTATCAATTATCAAAGAGAACCACCGGGAAGGCCACATACCCAGATTTTTATTAAAAGTGTTCACTCAAATCAGTCCTACGAATTCTTTCCAAAGTGGTTAAGAAAATCGGTCCATGACATCATTAACGATCCCCAATGTAACACACTATTTTTGAAGTTTTTCTGAAGGTGGTCTCAAAACTCTTTTGGAAAAGAGCTAAAAATACACAAATTCAACTTTACCAAAAAAAAAAAAAAAAAAAAAACAGGAGGAGGAAGGTGTTATCGACCTACTGTGCTGTGTGTAGCCCCTGGTGGTCCAGCCCGAGTTCCCGTTTCTGTTTTACATCATTAGGTGACACCTTCATGCTGTTCTACAGAACAGAGGTGGCGACGGTAACATCCGCTAATATGCAATCTCGCGGAAAAGAAACATGTCGCCCAAGTTCTGGTTTCCATGTTCTCTAAGGTATGCTTGTAAAAATAAGCTCACACTTTGATCATCAAGGGACTCTCAGTCAAATGAGGGATCTCGGCCGAGCTTCTTGAGCGGCCCAGCGTCTGAGGGGTGTCATCTCTGCAGCACCACCGCGAGCACCTGTGCCGGGAAGCGGTTGGATGCACCTTCCTAAGACCCTTCCACGACAGACAAGAAGAGAGCCAAGGGCCACCTACTTGGCCACGGGTGTGCATGAAAGGGCCCGAGAGGAGGTGCCTTTGGCCTCACGTGTAACAAAATGATTCCTGGCAAGCATCCCAGAGCCCACTCGTGCCGGAGACGCTCAGGGTGACGTCGAGACATCTCCCATCTGTACCCCAGCTCGTGGGGCCCTTTCATTCCTGGCTAGAACGGCCTCGAAGATGCTCCCCAGCACAGCTGGACAGCAATGTGGTGAAGCTGCAGAAGAAACGCCGTTCTAGAAGGTGGCGAATACTCTGAACAATTTAGTTGGAACAATTTGAAGACTCATCTAACAAAGTTACTCAGGTTCCCTTTGTAAGTAAAATCATACCCTTGTTTTGAGAGTTGAAAGATGAGGCAAAAAAAGATAATTTCTCAATTCTGAAATCTTCCATTCAATAATGGTCCTTCCCGTACTATTTGATGTTAGGCTAGAAAAGAGCTGTTCAAATCCCACCCTGAAGTAGAAGAAACCCATGAAACATTTTATATTAAAAAAAGTCACTCAGTGGGGCGACATTGGGATTTCTGCCAAAAATAATCTTATACTAAAATTAAATTTAATTCTACATAGTTTATATGCCTTCCTCCCACCAAACGATGCAGACAGAAGGCCGTAAAATTTCCATTTTGCATTCAAGGGTTCTCTAAAGCTCTTCTAAACAAAACAAATACTGAGGGATCATCTCCAACGCCAATACATTAAAAAAGTAAACAAGTTAAGATTAATAAGTATGTAAGATACTTCAAACAATGATGTAATACAGCCCAATTAAGCGTTGCACACACATGCACACAATGATTAGTCTCAGAGTACATCTTGTACAGATCTGGGAGAGCAATGAGGTTCACAAGAGCATAAATAACAGGAATTCCAGATTGTTTTGTTCCCCGACAGTCTCAAATCCTCTCACTCAAGCCCTTGCAAAATTTTAAGCTACATTAACATCTAAGTGACTGCTGGAAGGAGGGCTTCATAATGCCGTCTTGAAAGTTTCAAACATGGTGTATTTGTAGATGTAAGTTACTCGCCAGTTTACTCATGTAAACTTACAGGAGCAGAGAACTTCGAAAGATTTCCATGTACATAAGGTCAAAGAAAAAAAAAAGAAGAGGACGGGGAAATAACCTGTCTTTAAACTTCAGCATGTTTTCCTTATACAGAGTTAGATTTCTCAACAACGCTACTCCAGCTACGCTATACTTAAATACCATAGTATACCTAACATTTACTTATGTACTTACTATGGAATACTTACATATTTAATACTATGGTATAGAAATAGACTGTACTTGCTACATCATACATTTTCTCCAAGCTCAATGGTCTTGTCTGTGTGACGTCCCTTCCGTGTACTTCTACCCCTTGTTCACATTCTAGGCGGCTCCAACCACCGTGTATATAAAATATAAAACTTTATCAACGTGGAAGTTGAAAGCAATTCAACATGATCAATTGGAAAGGACTTTAAATGCATATCTCTCTAACATTTTTCTTGGAGAGGGGAGGTTATTAGGTTTATTTATCTGGTTAGTTATTTCAATGGAGGGACTGGGGATTGAACCCAGGACCTTGTGCATGCTAAGCATGTGCTCTAATCATTGAGCTATCCCCCACCCCCTCCTCTCTAACATTTTAAAATGAGGATTTGGGGCAGGGAAGGTATAGCTCAGTGGTTGAGTGTGTGTGCTTAGCATTCACAAGGTCCTGGGTTCAATTCCCAGTACCTCTATTAAAATAAAGAAATAAGCCTCATTACACCCCCCCCAAAACAAAAATTTTTTTTAAATAAAAAGAGGATTTGTGGTGGAGGATATAGCTCAGTGGGAGAGTGTGTGTTTATTAGCACGTGTGAGGTCCTGGGTTCAACCCCCCGTAACTCCATTAAAAATAAACAAATAAATAAATAAACAAACCTAATTACCTCCCAAAAAATAAAATAAAATGAAGATTTTGTTTTCACACTCAGTTTATACTGAGTCTGCCCACAGGAGTCTTCCCACAGTAAAGCTGGACAGCAGGGAGGCAGGGCGAACGGCGCAGACCCGAAGGCAGCACCGCCCCGCCGTCCCCATCACACGAGGCGTCTGCATTCGGCACACCCCGAGCGTTGTGACTCCCTTTCTGTGGGGTCCCCCGCGCGCCCCGCGGCGCCGAGCTTACCCGGTGTTCCTCCTGCTGCTGCCGCAGGGTTTCGTACTCGAGGGCGGGGGCGGGAAGCTGGGCGATGATGCTCTGCGTGTCCATCAGCCACGGCCAAAGCTCTTCATATGTTTCCCAGAACTGACTCACCAGGGACTGTGCCCGTTCTAACTGCAGGTACCTCTCCGAGTTTACCTGGCAGATGGCATCGTAGTTCTTCAATATCTTGTCCAGTTTTTTCTAGAAGATGAGATGATAAGACGTGGTTAACTGGTCAGGCAGGCCAAGGAAGCGGCTCACGTCCCCGGGGATGCTCTGTCCAGGGCCGCCCACCAGGCAGGTGCGGAGTGAGCACTCGACTGTGCACGTTACATGAAGCAACCAACAGAGGCCATTCAGATTGTAACTGCTGCTATGCATACAAGTTCAAATTAAAGAAAGGCCCTCCATGTTGTTGCATATGGCAGGAATTCCCTCCTTTTTAAGGCTGAAAGCTAAATACTAGTCCACTGTATGCTAATGGGGTGCTCTTACTACAAAGAAAAAAAATTCAGATAAACAACAACAACCTACTGTACAGCACAGGGAACTACATTCAGTATCTCATAATAACACATAATGGAAAAGGATCTGAAAAGAAAAAAATATACATGCACGTACACGTAAAACTGAATCACTTTGCCGTACACCTGAAACTAACACTGTAAGTCAATTACACTTCAGTAAAAAACAAAATTTTAAAAATTTTCATATACACATGGAGAAACTAGGGAAAAGGCAGAAAGCATCTTAATGTTACAACAGGAGGAGCTCAGGCTTGGAGAACAGATGTCAAGTGTTTATGCATAAGACAGGGGGCTTTCCAAACACAGTACGCAAAATTCTCCAGCCATTCTTCTAGGTGAGAAAGTAAGTCCCATATGAGCCTAGCAACCTTTACGTTACTTTCTGTTAAAACGTGAGGACTGTTTTCCACAACTGAAATTCTAAGAGGAACTGCTGGTCAGCGAAATTAATCACAGATTAGAAGCATTATGCTATAATATGGATTCTAAGTAGGGAATTATGCTATATATGGCTTCCATGGGGTGGTCACAGTAATCTTGTTGTGGTATGAATTCATTTCGTAACTTAACAGCAGAAGACAAACACCAAAAGTAATCCAACCGACCACACAGAGTAACACCGAAATTACTTCATGATCGCCTGTATTTCTCATGTCAGAATCTTTGCAAAAATAATAAGGAAAGATTAAATTATATACAAGTAAACTGCCATTGTAGAGTATTTGATTTAAAAGAAGTATCCACATACAGTGTACATTCTATCATTTTGCTTATGGTATACCTTAAAAGCAATGCACACGCTTTTAAATATGACCTGAGGCACAGACATCTGTATATGTATTTCTGCCATGAGATATTTTCCTACCAGAAGCATTAATATACATTAATTTCTTTAGGCTGTTCAGATGTCTGAAGATGAAGTGAACTAAACATTTTCATTTGTGGCTGGTTTCCCATCAACCAAAGGATTATTAAAACTGCATACACTGAAAGCTTCCTTAATAATTCTGCTCATTTTTTTTCCTATATGGATTACTATAACTTTACACAGGATGGATTTCAGCCAGAGAGGACCACATATTTGGGGTTTTGTTTCAGCTCAAGAGGCCCAAGTGTTCCTGAAGCGGAGAAACCACAGTTGACACATATCATAACAATTTACACATGATAATCGTGATAATACAGCTAACATCAATTGAACGCTTAACGGGGGCCAGTTACTCAAGGACTCAACCCTTAAGAGCTTTGCCGTCTATTAAAAAAGATTATCCCCTGGGTGTTTCGCTTAAGGCGTATTCCTTTCACTGTTATCCTATAAGCCTGAAAAACGCTTTATTTTAAACTAATGATTTAGCTGTGGAAACCGCAGCTGTGGATAAAGGAAAAGTGCTTTTCTAGGGGAGTGTGTGCACTGGTCTCACACCCGCCACGGAGACAGGGGTGTTACCTTCATCGACTGTTTTTCCTCTTCGCTGCACGTGCTCATAATTTGGTGTCCAGACTCGACAAGCTCATCGATAATGTCCTTGTGCCGCAAAATCTCCATGGTGAATGCCTGTGTTTACCAAGACAAAGAGTTTTACAGCTAAGATAAAAACAACCAGGCAAAGCGGTTAGAATGACTTAGCAGGTCACACCAGACGTCTCGCAGACGCCATCACGGGAGCAAGCGCGTTGCCAGGACGCGGGGCACACGGACCAATCACGGATGCAACTGGGAGTAAACGTGTGCCTTCACCTTCTGAACCTGCAGCTGAGCAGAGGTCTGGTCTTGCTCAAGCCTGATGTCGCCCAGGGAAGTCAGTTTCTTCTCCGTTTCAGTAATCCAGGATAACTCCGCATCGGCCGCCTGGTCAAACTAAACGAAAAGATAAATAATCCGGTCAGCAAGCTCCTGCAACTGGGGCCAGGAAAACGCCTAGCTACACTTCTTTCAGCTGTCCCTACTGCCCGGGTGGAAACTCCGAGCTCGCCTCTTCGTGACAATCTGAAATAATCCATGATAAGGACTGTAGTTATTTTTTTAAAAAAGGAGAACTTTCTGCAGAGAAATTAAACACAACCTCTTGAAATGGACTGAGACCCTAACAAGGCATTGATGATTTGAGGAGAGCTAACCCTGCTACCTTCTCTTTGGTAGAAGTAATAAGGCTTTCTCCCTAAAGACACAATCCAAATTGAACGGCTGTGAAAATCAATAGCTGGATAACATCTGCCAGTCACTTCACCCTTCACTTTAACCCGTATGATAGCCAGACAGCATTCTGCTAGCAAAGTACACGACTCCCAGCAAAAAGAATGAAATATTCCATTTATTATACTATGTGTGTATATGGAAAATATGTTCCCCTATATGTAGCATATACCCCCAAAGTCTCATGTACAATTTTCTCTACATCTCATTTAATAACAACAGAAGGCATTTTCAAGACCATTCTTAAATATTTTAAGAGATTTTCTTTTCCTGATCATAACAGTAAGGCACAGGGAGAAATTCATAAACTACAGAAAAATACACAGAAGAAAATTAAAACGCGGGAGTTAATACTGTTGGTATTTTAGTGAATCTTCTTCCAGCAGTTGAGACTTATAAAAGTCTGGGATAATACTGGATAAACAGTTTCATATCCTGCTTTTTCATTTATCATGAACACTTCCCATGTCACAGAAATGTGATTTTTTAAAAATAACATCACTGTATTCCAGCATACCTGAATATTTTCATTTAGGCTCCCTGCATTTTTTGCCATTACATAAACAACTCTGGAATGACTATCCTTGTATGTAAATCTCCGTTGGCATCTCTAATTAGTTCCTGAGGGTGGATTCCTAAAGCTGACTTCCAAGTCAAAGAGCACGGAGGTTTTCAGTACCTGCATCAGATAAACCCCAGCGCCTTCCAGTTTTCATAAGTGAGTAAAGTGGGTAAGGGACACCCCAGCACCAACCGTAAACAGTGACTAGAACGCCTCAGTGGGAGGAGTTAAGGGGGAATGGACATTGTGATTGTCAAGTCTGGCACAGCCAGAACCCCTCATTTTTCAAGAGCATCTGAAAATCCAGGCTGGGATGGGCGATAACCAGGTGAGGGGAGTGAAGGGTGAAGGTAAGAAACTAAACTGGAAAATAATTCATAAACAACTTAAATGTCCATCTACAGATGACTGGATAAAGAAGTTGTGGTATACACACACACACACACACACACACACACACACACACACACACATACACACACACACAATGGAATACTACTCAGCCATAAAAAATAATAAAATAATGTCCTTTGCAGCAGCATGGATGAAACTGGAGATCATCATTCTGAGTGAAGTCAGCCAGAAACACAAAGAAAAATACCTATGATATCACTTATATGTGGAATCTTTAAAAAGAAATGACACAAATGAAGTTATTTACAAAACAGAAACAGACTCACAGACACAAAAAACAAACTTATGGTTACCAGGGGGGAAGAGGGTGGTGGAGAGAGAGAAATTGGGAGTTGGAGATTTACATATACTAACTAGTATATTTAAAATAGATACACAACAAGTTTCTACTGTACAGCACAGGGAACTATATTCACTATCACATAGTAACCTGCAATGAAAAAGAACGTGTATGCATATGGATGACTGAAACGTGATGCTGCATATCAGAAGTTGACACAACACTGTAAACTGATTATAATTCATACTTTAAAGACATGATGCGACACTCCAGATTCACAGGAAGACAGGGCAGACATACTTCTCCCTGTTCCACACAAGTACACCTCAGAGCCCTGAGCACTATCAGAGCCCTAAGCACTAGACACGCACACACACACACAAGGAGCCTCTAGACAGAGGGAGAAGAGAACGGAGCTGCTACAGATCGAGGAACAGCCCAGGGGCAAATTCCCAGTTCCCTGGGTTTTCTTTTCACCTCCCATGACCTAGACTGGATGCTGGGGAAACTGGCCACCCAGAAGCACCAGGAGGCATGGGCCATGCCCCAGGAAAGCCTAGTCTCTCTGGTCAAAGGAGCAGGAAAGGGCAGCCTGGCAGGACAGAAAACTTTCAGACAATATCCACTCTACTCCAACCACACACCACGGAACGAAGCCCTGCCTCCCCAAGCTCATGCCAACAAAGGCTGATGGGAGCCCTGACACCCACCCTGCCAGGTGAGGTCAGCCAAGGCCAAAGAGGCAACCAGGGGGCCCTGGCTCCCAGGGTGTGTGGAGACCACGTGGGGAGCCTGGACCTCCACTCACCCAGCATCCAGGGGCAGACCCTGCTCCTCTCCTTGGGAGTGGTAGCATCAGGGAAGGCCAGGCAGTCAGGATTCTCACATCACTCAGTGGTACTGTGGCCCTGCACCACGGTGTCCAGGAGCTAAACCTCCCACTCCCACCAGCAGAAGTGAGGACCCGTTAGGGGTCGTGCGAGGTTGCCCAGGGGACCCGGGCTTCTGCCTCCCCAACACCGGGCAGCATCCCCGTAGCTTCTGCCAGAGCTGGGTCACAGAAAGCCAACTGCAACAGGGAGCTTCATCAAGACCCAAAACTCACAACACCAAGAACCAAGAAGAATGTGAACTGAACAAAGGAGGGATACTAGCAGATGCTTATACCCGCAGGTGCTCATCCCCAGAAGATGGTCATCCCCGGCAGGTGCTCATCCCCGGCAGGTGCTCATCCCCAGATGCCCGGGATGTGAGGGCTGTCTGACAGCTCTTTAAGCAGCCAGGATGAAACTGCTTCAATGAGCAATGTCCAACACAGCTGAAATGACTGAAAACTTAGAAGTCCACAGGGACAAAACCTGAAGTCTCAGCAAAGACTGAATGGAAACATTGGAACTTGGAAGTCGAACAACTGAAATAAAAGCCCAAGGGACGAGGTCAAAGAAGACAGAGTCAGTGAAGAAAGAGACAGATCAACAGAAGTCGTCCAACCTGGATAACGGAAAACAGACCAACAACAGTAACGGAGCTCAGGGCCTGAGAAATTACAATAAAAGAGCTAACATTCAAGTCACTGCCATCCCAGCAGGAGAAAGTGGCTGTGGCGGAAAAGTACTCAAACCTTCTTGAAATCATAAAATGATAGAAACAGAGACCACATTTGTGGTGGCCAGGAGCTGAGGCGGAGGGAGAGGTGGGGGGGAATGGATGTGGCTACGAAAGGGCAGCCTGAGGCTCCTTGTGATGGAAACGTTCCGTATCCTGGCGGCGGCGGGATCAGCGTCCTGCTTGTGATACGGTACCAGAATCCTGCACGATGCTGCCATTGGGGAAACTGGGACAACGGTCCAACGGGACCTCTGCGTTATTTCTTACAACTGCATGTGAGTCTACGGTTATCGTAAACAACTTAAAAAAAAAAACTGTGTGGGTAATTTCTCATCCATAAGTCCTGCTTGCATTTTCTCTTTGAGATACACGCTACCCAGCTGCCCTTCAGACGGGATGTATTGATTCACACTCCCCTAAGCGGTCCTCTCATCAACATGGGGCATAAGTTGGTTTTTAAGTATGTTTGTCGAGCCTATCACTGGACTTTCCTTAATTATAAGGACATAACCTGCCCCCCAAAGCCTGGCATAAACAATGACAGCACGGATCAAGAGCACGGTTAATAGCTTCAACCTCACGAAATAAAAAAATAACAAATTATAGAAGTGAAAAAGTTCTTAATACTACTACTGAATTATTGTGAAGAGTTTTTCCCCTATACATCATGAACCCACCTGTTTTCACCTTTACCAAGTAATGGAGTAAATAAAGACTGAAGCTGTTTTCAGGTCAATTTCTTTGGGGCAATAGTTTAGATAGAAAAAAATTCCAGTAATCATCGAAATACGGGCCCAAACCAGAACTATAACAGGGGTTAAAGACATATTTTGGCATTTATCTTTAAAAACAAATCACCTAAGGGCATGAAAGGGAAGACATGGTTCAAGGGACCTTTCCTTCAGCATCTCTGAAAGTGTTACCTGGATAAAATCTGAATATAAACCAACTTCTAACTAAAAGAGAGGCCAAATCAGGCTGCTTTGAGACTCCTCCAAGTGCCACACTGTCACGTCTGCTGCGTGGACACGTGTCCCTTCAAATGCCACGCATCTAAGAGGGTCACAGAAAATCAGAGCTTTAGAGTCATCAGAGTGGGCAACTCTCACGTGAGGACAGTGCTTCGAAAATGACTCTGCACATTTGTGCACTCAAATAGAAAGGTTTATTTTTCCTGTGTTTCCCGTAACCTCCTACACTGGTTTTTGAAGCTGCCTC